CAAAAAAGATTGGGCCCCAGTTGCGAGTCGAGGACGCACTTGCAACTCGGACAAAAAAAGGTTGTGCCCTAGTTACGAGTCGAGGGTGGACTTGCAACTCGGACAAAAAATGTTGGCCCCCAGTTGCGAGTCGATGGTGGACTTGCAACTTGAAAAAAAATTCTAGCCCCATTTGCGTCGAGAGAAGACTTGCAACTAGGACAAAAATGGTTTGGCCACAGTTGGACTTTCAACTGGAAAGAAAAGGCCAGACCCCAGTTGTGTGTCGAGGGTGGACTTGCAATTAGGACAAAAAAATATTGAGACCCAGTTGTGAGTTAAGAGTGCAATTGCAACTAGGGAAAAAAGGTCAGGCCCAGCTGTGACTCAAGGGTGGATTGCAACTAGGACAAAAAAGGGCCAGGTCCGAGTTACAAGTCAAGGGGGGTATTGCAACTGGGACAAAATGGTTCGGTCCCTAACTGTGAGTCGAGGGTGGACTTGCAAATAGAAAAAATGTCAGGCCCCGTTGCGAGTTGAAGATGGACTTGCAACTAAGACAAAAAGTTCGGGTCCCAAAGTCGAGAGCGGACTTGCAGTTGGAAGGAAAAAATGTCGGACCCGAGTTGCGAGTCGAGGATGGACTTGCAACTGGGACAAAAAAGACCGAGCCCCAATTGCGATTTAAGGGTGGACTTGCAACTAGGACAAAAAACTGTCAGTCCCCAGTTACAAGTCAAGGGCGGACTTGCAAATGTGACAAAAAAGAATGGGTCCCAGTTGCGAGTTGAGGGTGGACTTGCAACTAGGACAAAAAAAGGTCAGACCCCAATTATGAGAGGGCCAACAAAAGCAGACTCGAATAGGCCTAGGCCAACAACAGGATACACAATAAACAAACAACAATGAGGGAGGCGGAAGGTAGAGCTTGCAGGAAATGACAAAAAATAATCAAATGGTGAATTTAAAAAGTACTTATTAAATTTTAAAAATCATGGATTTAAAAGACTAAAAAAGAGAAAAAAACAAAAAATTAAAAAGATGGGACCTCTATTGCATGTTAGTGTGTGATTGGACTTGCACGTAGAACAAAAAATGAATTGGGCCTCAGTTAGGAACAAGTAGACAAAAGATAACAAGGAGACACAGGAATACATCATCCAACACCGGGAGATCAAAAGTTTACGCAAAAATTACAACAAGAAGATGCAACGGTGACAGTGACTAGTTGCATGACAATAGTGTATTTGCAACATAATCTAAAAATATGTTGGGCCGAGTTGCATCTCGGTGGTTTACTTGCAATTGCAACAATAAAAAAAAAAGACGAGCTCCAGACTGCATGTCGGTGGTCGACTTGTAACTAGAATAAAAAATAAAAAGATGAACCTAGTTAGGAGTACACTTGCAGGAAAGACCAAAACGGTTTGGTCCCAGATATATGTCGGTGATCGACTTGCAACTGGAACGAGAATAATAAAAAGACACAAGGTTCTTATGTATTAGGGTTAGACATGAGAACGAAAATAAAAACTAAAAGTTGGCCGTTGCCCGTCATTGTACTGTTTAGAAACTTGGCTAGGTCGCCTCTACTCCTTAGACAAAGAGCAATGGGATAGAGAGAACGAAGAAACATCCGACGAGCCAGCAGTCAGCTCGTCTCTCCAACTTATACAGACAACACTTATCTTCAACTACAACATAGAAAAAAAGACCATGAAAAACGGCCCAAAAAAGAAAGACGCACGGTGTGATGGGCTGTAAAATGAACAACAGACGAGTGACACCGGACGCACGGGACAAAACAACCCCGATCAAAGAATTACACAAAATTTATAAAGATAGATTAAATGGACTGAAACTTAGATAAGACATCACACTCATCTATATGAGTTGTAACAATTTCGATACATGATTTATTATTCCGTGGACACGTTGCATAGATGAATACAAATCAAAACAACCAAAAATATGCACGAACAATCATACGGTATATACATGCACAAAGGAGATGCCTGCATACGTCATCTAATATATACACATATCATAGTATCACAAGGGGGAGAAAAAAATGAAAAAAGAAAAAAGATACCTCACAAACGGCAACAGCTGCAGTGTATCGAGACAATACAACAATAGACAAAAGAAGGAAAAAAGACAGAAAGGAAATGCAGCCCATGCTGGCACACATGAGCTAGCCCACGCTGGCACGCTGCATGCGGGCTGCGCGAGCGCACGCTACAAATCGCCAGGTCGTACAATCAAACGCGAACAAATCGTCAGATCATCAGTCCACGAATTTTAAAGACCATACAAAATCCAACGATGAGGCACATCGTGAAATAGCAAATCCGAAAGAAAAATAGGCTGGCCGGTGGCCGCCTGGGAGCCCAGCCGTTGTTTTCCTTTTCTCCCCTGTTCGTTTTTAGCTCTTGGAGTCGCTTCTCCTCCAAGCCCGATCTGCGCCGCCGCCGCCCATATTCGCTGGACCCGCGGCGCCCTAAACTCCTCTCTCGTTCTTGCTCTTCCTAGTTCAGTTCGCTGCCGCTGCCACTCCGGCCCTGCGACCTCGGCCTCCCCAGTATCTGACGCCGAATCGCGATCTGTTTCATACCCATCTCGTGCCAATTATGTGTTAAATTCAGGTGGATTGGAAATAGCTGTCTGTTTGGGCGTATACCTCTCTGCTCCTGCTCTCGCGGTGTTAGGCTAGGCTGGGGAGGTCCTCCGACAATATTCTCGCGAGCAATTTGGTATCACCGGTTGGATCAACAGAGAGGAGCGCGTGTTTTTGTTAGTCGGGAATCCACTGGCAGTAGCATTATTTCTCTTTGATCAGGTTGCTAGGTGGCTGGGAGTGGGACTGGTCCTTGTTTTTCGTTGGCTTTCCTTTAAGCTCGTTTTTTAGCTTACTGTATCATGTGATATGTGCTGATGCCGGCAGTTGGTTCATGGGATGGGAGACCAAGACACAACAGGATAGCTCATAGCATCTAGGAATGTTACAGTTCACTGGGGTTAGAGATTTTGGTGCCAATTAGGGACTCTGTAAGTGCATTTTGGTTTTGGCCATGTCTTCTTGTACTTCCCCAGATCCACCGGACTACTGCTCCGCTGTATCGCCTGAGCTTAAACTATACCAGGCCTTCATCTTCTCTGTGCCAGTTTTCTTCACATTCGTCTTGCTTCTCTTCTTCTACTTGTTCTACCTGTGGCGGCGCAGAGTGAATTGGCAGTCCTCGCAAATGAGGGCTGATAATTTGATCAGGGGGGATAACCCTAGGGTAAGTTGGCCATTTATGTTCCCCCCATGCACGCTTTTCTTAAATATACTTAGTGTATTGCAAATCTTATTGTTTGATTTATCTTTATTTGAACATATCTGCATTTATAGTTGGAGTGTGGCATAAATAAGGAGATGCGTGAGATGTTGCCAGTTGTGATCTTCAAGGAGAGCTTCTTGATCAGGGAAACACAGTCAGTGATCCGCTCCTTTTCTCCTTAATGCAGAATATAGTGGTGTACACTTGTACTAGACCGTATCTCTCATCAATTAACAATCACTTGTTATGCTTTTTATCTCAAGTGTGTTGGAGACTGTTTGGTTCCTAGCCACACCATAAGTTTGGCAAGTTTGGTCAAGTCAGGTGGGTGTTTGGTTATAGCCACACCTAAGGCAAGAATCTTTTTGTGAGCAATAAGCCCCACATATTATACACACACAAAATGTCACAAGATTCCCTAAGGCAAGCCAAAGTGTGGCAAAGAATTTGAGCACCTCAAGTTAAGCAAGTGTGACAAAAATAATGTGGCAAAGATAGTCACAAACCCAAGAGGCACTTAGTCTTTTTTTATGATATGTTTGTGAAAATAAGTTTTTCTAAAAATTGCTGTATGTACTGACAGTACTATCAATATATGGCGTAATGATGATTTGAAGTTGAACTTTCTATTGAATCTGTCCTTTTAGTAGCTTATAAGAATTAGCTCTGTAGTGGACACATGTGTTCTTAATCAAGGCTGCTAGAGTCTGCATCTTTATGCCGCTAATCTGTGTATGCACTTAAGTGCGAGCTAGCCAGTTGTGAACCACTAGCAAGGCACTCATGGACGGTGCATATTCGGAAATTTGTTGAACATGAGAAATCAACGCTGGTACTGCAGTAAATAGAGATCCTTCAGTTGGCACAAGGTTGATAAGCCTAATTAATGGTTATACTAGTACGATAGAAGGAAGCTAGGGAAAGGAAGGATGTGGGTTTCCAGCTTTCCATAACAAGTAGTGGGAGTGCTACTAATATGTAACGTAATCCGTGGACTAGCTTCTTTAGAAACAAATCCGTGGACATCTCTACGCTTGGGAACGTAACGTAATAAAAATGCATGATGTCATTTATTAAAACTTTCAAGTGATGTAAAAGATTTTGTTGTTCAAGTGATGTAAAAGATCATTGAAGAAAAGTAGAGTTACACAGGCGTGCATAAATAGTGTACTATCAAGAGTGACAGGATGCACGCCACTTCTATTGCAATCAAATGAAAGTAGCTACATAAGAATTCAAATACTGGCTGCTGCTAACATGCACGACACGGTCTATTTCTAACCAACATAAGTACAAGCTTTCCAAGCTATGGCCCCAAAGTCCTGAAAGAAAGTCCTGCATGAATCATCTGAAAGTAGGAAGGCCCGACTTCTATGAATTTTCGACAAATATGTCATTTCCGCTTGGATAAATCAAGGCTTTCAACATTCAAAAATAAATCAAGGCTTTCCAAGGCTTATTTTATCCGCCTGAACCTGTATGAAGGACAGTAGTATGTTACTTGCAGTAACCGCAGTAGCAGAAAGGCATCTTTCCCCTAGGCTTTGTTGTTTGGCATGCATGTGTAAATTTCCATCACTACTTCTGCCAAAGTATTCTCCATCCCTAGCTTTCTCACTACAACTATATGTGTTAGCCAACAATGATATCCACTCCTGCTGCAATTTTACACCACATTCTTCTTTTAGTTAGCTATATTTTGCTGACCAGTAAATATTCTTGCCAGGTGCTCGGTCTGCTTAGCAGACTATCAAGCAGATGAGCGGCTTCAGAGAATACCCCCTTGTGGTCACACCTTCCACATCGATTGCATTGACCACTGGTTTTCTAGGAACACTACTTGCCCTCTTTGCCGAGTATCGCTCCTGACTGCCCCCAGAGCTGCCAGCGTCGCTCCGACCGATCTGGAAACACAAGCCATCGAAGAGGACTGCTCTTCAAGTGCGCAGCATCATGTGGGCCTTAGAGATGAGCACACGCGACCGGAGGATCAGGCAGTGGACGGCAGGATCAGTGACGGCCCATCACAGCAGACTAACGTGGATGCATCAGTTATTGTAGTCATCGCGCCTCAAACAGCAGGGTCTCCAAGTTCTTGCCACTTGTCTGCCGTGTAAGCAAAAGAAATAAGGCTTTTTACTGTCTTGTTGTATGTTTAGCTGCTGTTAGAAGGATTAATAAGAGGCGCACAAAGATCTGCATCAACGGTAAACTGACTCTAGAGGAGGGAAAAACGTCTAAATCTTGTACTGGAAACAGAGGAATAGTCGTATTTTTTTTTACCACAACTGATATCGGAGACGTTCTTTTCGTGTTACTCCTCTGATCCATATTAACTGTCACTGATCTAATACAACTTATTTATATGGATCGGAGGGAGTAAACTTCTGTTCATGGGAAATGTAGTGGTACATACACTTGTCGTCACAATCTCGACCTTGAATTGGATCATGGACATAAGCACAAATATAGTGACACGTCTTAAACAAGAAGTGCGAAAAATATATGGAGCGAACGTCAGCTCACATGCACACTAGCGCGACGCTCCCCTGGCCTCTCATTTGTGATTACATGTACTGACCCAGTGATTAGAGTACATGCATTGAGCGAATGATTAGAGTGGGCAACATCATTTGTTTTTTTAAAACGGAGGTAAAAGATTTGCCCCATTCATTAAATAAGGAGGTTTAACAAGGTTTTCAGGCACCGGCCAAAGACCGAAAAGAAAATACAAGCCGTTACTCTGCATTAGAGGACCCAAATGTTTCACCCCTGCTAGGACCCATAGTGTCGCCTCGTGCTTGATAGCTTGGAGAGTGGTAAATGTTGGAGCGGAGCGGCCTCGAAAAACCCGTGCGTTCCTTTCATCCCAAATCAAATTGCTTTCGAAACGAGCATGAAGATAGACGGCATCACTTTCTTGTGTGCACTGTAGGCGGAAGCCGATTCACACCACCACTCATGGATGCTCGTGTAAGCCGCCCAACCTGAAGTATCCAAATGAATGAGTTGAAGCCAAGCTCTGACCATCTCCCAAACTCTCAACGGTGCTCAACGGTCTCTTGTTCACGCCTACAGAAGGTGCACGTGCCACTGTTTGGCCACCCTCGCTTTGCCAAGCGAACGGATGTCCATAACCTGTCTT